TCAATTGGATAGCGTATAGTTTCCCAGTGGGTTGTTTTCTGTAACTGGGCTTCTAGGTTGCAGAGTGCTTGCTGAGTCACAGGACCTCACATCTAGCTGGCAACATAATTACATGTTTACAGTTTAGCTAACTTGCTCTTCCAGGTATGGAATAGCGATTGTGAAACACTTAGCTATGAATATGCTTGAACCCATGTGGAGCTCAGAGACGGTTCTGATTCATATGAGTTTTCTCTGGACAGTCGTGTTGTGCCTCAAGCTACTTCTTACGCGACTAGAACTTTCTACCAGATGTGTATTTACCGTCAAACGCAGCAAGTAACTAGGTTAAATGCCCGACAAAATCAGTATGATACTTATGTCTTGGGTTGTCTGACGATGCTGTGGCATTGTTTGAACACTTGATGCATTGCGTGAGAGCGTGATTCAAAACAGAAGCTGCGTATTACAGCCAGGGCTGCCTAACTAGCGTATATCACTAGTCTGCCTACCGCTGTTCTCTTAGCTCCTATGTAACAGAAGACGTCGACTTCCAAGCTCCTCGTGATATGGCGATTTTTCAAATCTTGTGTAACTAATGCTAAGAATATCATACATTCCCGGTTACTCGCCGGAATAAAATAACAAGTACTTTTCCGCGATGCTTGGTCGAAGTGACTTTAGAGTGAAGTCAGCTGGTAACACGGAGTCAAACGTCACATTGGATCCAAGTAACAGAGTTCATTCTATACACTTAACTGTAGATTGTAACGGGGACCGAGTGAAGTATCATATCAAATGTTCAACTCCGTGTTCATCGAACTGGACGTGGTAGGGGTGAGATGCATCACTCACTAAATCCTTTAGCCCTCGGTTAACTAGGTCAACATCCTTGTGCGTTACAGCTCACCAAGGAGGTGTCTACCTTGCAGTCCTACATGAGCTTCCCCCTTACTCAGAAATAATTGCATCAGCAATACACCAGCAAATTGTATTGACGCTTCGCTGTCACATGACGACCACCGGTCACGCTTGGGTTGCGTATACCGCGAGGTTGCCCGCGTCTACGTAGATTCGAACCTGTGACCTCGGGATTACAAGACAGGCGTGTAATCCTTTCTGCCACCGGCTGATCACAGGTGCTTACGGTTTACTACTCACACCCTTTGGCCACCGAAGGAGCTATACTGTGGTACGAATTGCTGTTCCGGAAGAGCCCTTAGTTGCTATAATAGAACCGCTTATCTCAGCTGTGCTTTAATTGCTTATGTCGACATCTGTTATTTACCACCGTTCCATCTAGTTAGGGAAAGCCGCAGGGTGCTATTCGATGTCAAGGCTATGTGGTGTGAAGAAATTGACGTAGTTACTCAGTCGGCATAGTAATTGCTGTGCCTCACGTTGGAGGTTTTGGTGCTCGGTCACATCATTTGGAAGCCAGTGACCAATTTCATCACAATCATCCGTACTAGCTGGTGGCCATTACTGACGGTAACGGGATCACTGCACTTCAGTGCTCGAATCACTGTTGTCTGGTCAAGTTATCGTTAGTTTCTGTTGCCATAGCGTGTTGAGACTTCTATCCCGATCGTGGGCACAATCCTAACGGAGCTGATATTAATGGCTTCTATATTTGGTGGTCCATTGAGCACGAACGTGCAATCTCGGGGTTCATTCGGACCTCTCATGACTGTCTGTTTTGCTTCTCTTTTTAGCGCAGACCCTGATGTTTACCTTTTTTAACAGTGGGGCGGACGATATTTCTGTGCGCTGTCATGTGTTACACGTTTCTAACGACATTGATTTACGCAGGTCCGTTACCTCCCCATTATTGCCAGCTTGACATCTAGTTTACCTCGTGTCTTCATGCCTCCTTGCGCCGCACTTAAGAAGTTGCAGTTGTACTCACTCTGGTTATTTTGGGATCAGTCACATCTGTTGCTAGATATCCTTTCCGCACAGATGGACAGCCAGTCGGTCCATCTGGGCTTGTCTGATCACTCGCAGAGGCAAATAAATGCTTCATCATCATTATACACGTTAGCTGCAGGTGGAAAACACCTCAGTTATTGTGCCGCAATACAAAAGACAAGAAAAGGAAAAAAACAGTGACACGCCGGCTGAGTCCCCAGTAACGGATGGACATTGTTCCGGAGAGCTAACAGCTGGCTGTCGTGCCATAAAAAGAGAGTTATATTATGCCTAACGAGTGAGATCGTGATTCGAGGTTGATGCTAAGCAGGTGGGGGATGGACAAAGGAACTCACAACACAAACGCCATTGGGGCCGGCTCCAAGCCATATCAGCAAGTGTGTCCAACCAAACGTGTTCACCGTCCTTAGGATCCCAGCCAGGTAGTCGGGATGCACCAACTTCAAAGTGAGGGTTTTCATCTCTCTCGACCAAGTCATCACTTGGCCTCCCCTCCTCCTCTTCCAACCGCACCCACAACGCGCAAACAATGCACGTCGCGGAAGTCGGTGTGCTGTAATGCGCAACACGTGGCCCAACCATCGGCAAATAAATGCGAAAAGATATGGCGTAATACTTCCAGATGTGTTGTTGGCCCGTAGCCTAAAGGTAACGATCTAGGCTTATGATCTGACGGCGCGGGTTCCAGCCTGCGTAGGATCAGGGCGGCCCTCGCAGTATCCTTAGCCCACGTGTGACAGGTGGTGGTTGCGCGGTAGCGAAGCCTCGATACTGTGTACCGGCGTACTGCTGATGCCTTTTCCAGATATGTTACATATTATTATGCATTATCACTCCACCGTTCCTTATAAGTATGTCTTAATAAAATCGTTCTTTCAGTCAGCACGAGTGACTGATGGATTACCGCTGAGGGACCGATTTTTGTGCCCCTGACCGCCCCAGTGATACAAATCAGGGACTAATTTCGGTCACTCAAAATATTTCGATTTGGCCTCACTGCTGCAGTATTACGTCTACTGAATTGGAAATCAAGTCCGTTTATTGTTGACGGTATTTGCAACCAGGATAAATGCATTCACGGTATATGCTGAGTGCACTGAGAAAAATTTTCTATTTACAATAATTAGTCTCAAATGTGTCTCACTGGGGCGGCCATGGGCATGAAAACCGTTCACTCATGGCACTCCAGCCATCATTGAGCGGTCACTTTTCGTTTACTCGTGTTATGCGGGTAACTTGTCCTGTATGGTTTAGCCACTGATTTGGTGGCACTGTCTGCTAACTATTTTTCCCACGCCATCTTTTACCCACTATTTACTCGAATCAATTTAACTGGGTATTGTTTCCCCGCTCGTCACCGTACTAGTTCTCTGATCTCCTGATTCGTGACTATCTCCTTATTGATACCTCACGCATAACCTCGTCGCACCACTTGACTATAACTAGATTCCATTATCCATTGGACCGGAACTTTCAGCTGAAATCTCTGCCTATATTCAATATCCGATATTTGATTTGGTTCACTTGAGTATTTATTATGGGATTTTCTGTGATCTCAAATGTTAACTGTGCTCCTATTTTCTAGAGGAAAAATGGCCTTAGCAGTACGTCGCTACTACGTCCCGATGCTTCGCTGCCGCGCAACCACCGTTCGCATGCGGGCTAAGGATACTGCGACGGCCGCTCTGCCCCTACGCAGGCTTGAACCCGTGCCGTCAGATTATAAGACAAACATTTTACCTTTAATCTACGGGCCAGTATTTTCGGAGGAAGTTATAGGCATTACTGCCATTCTGGATGATCGCGTTTTGTGGTCCAGTCTTTTATCATGGCTATCTGCGGAGCATTGCTGGTGTCGGATGGCACTAGCATTTCCGTACCGATGATGTGCGTAACCTAGTACTAAGCAGCGATAACCAGGCTAATTCCTTAGAACAACAAATAGCACTAAATAAGTTGCGTTGGCTTAGGCACATGCTTTGTATGCTTGGTCACTGCTTATCGAAGAAAGCTTTATTTTGTCTGGCAGATACAGGGTGGCGCAAGTCCCGAGGTTGGCAACAATTAACAGCGGGAAATGAAGTCATTGGCGACCAAACTAGGTGCTTTCGGTCCATCCTTCCTTCCGGGCTGTAGTCCACGTGACCCGCCTTGTGCTTGGTTCGATGCATTACAGAACATGGCTCGCAGTCGACACAAGTAGCGCGCTTGCTGTCGTCTCCTAATCGGACTGTCTGTTTAAAGTATGTTTGGTGCTGAGTTATCTGCATGGTAGTCGTTGATTATGACGAGGGGCAGTGAAATCTGCAAGGAAGCTGTTTCGCTGATACCGCCTTGTCTTTGCACGATAACCAGCTGTTTGTGATTGTATGATGTTGACAAAGTGTAAACGCTCTGACACTGAGTGTTTGTTTAAAGCATTAAGGTTTTACACCAGGTCCCTCTCCTCTCTCTTATTGTTCTTCGTTCCGTAGATTACCGTGGTAGTACGGCAGCGTAGCGTCAATTTAAATGGGTGCTGTACTGCTGTTGATGTTGATGATTTTTCCCATTTATGCGATTTAGAAAGTCGACTTGTTTCCCCATGTATTGGGATTTTATAAAATACCATCTTCCGTTGCCCTCAGTCTATCTTTATTGCACGTGCTCTTTGTTGAAATATGACCACTGCCCTTGCCCTTGTCTTTCATAGACAATTGGTACTCTGCTATAACCGTGGTAAATGGTATATCATTTGCTGTTCTTGACGAAAGCTTCTGTGGCTCAAGTGCTTGGCCTCGAAACAGCATGGTCTTTTATACTCCACCAGGTTTCCCATTTGTACGGTTCTGAGTGCCCTCCTAGTTCTAATAGGTTTATTTGGCCCTTAGCCATTGACCATTATACTATTTGGAGTAGCTATTGAGGTGCTCAATTGCACCGTCTTGTTTGACTTACTGAGCTGTAGAAATGCACCAGCTATCTCCTCATGCTGAATTTCAGTGCCATTAGGACGTGCCCGACAATCGTTTTGTTGCACCCCTCATTTCTATTGGTTTACACATATATATACATGTATTTTATACTTTTACTTGCCTATGGTTCTCAAGGTCCCCATCTACGAATACCGTGTCTGTCAACGGCTGTCCAAATTTATTGGAAAATTCGATTTTGAGCAGTCAGCTATCGTCTTCTCAGAGGACTACGAACCCAGTTGCTGCGCTATCGGCATCGAGTTGTGGAACACCGTCCACATCCTCCGGTCTTCTCGTTTCTTCTGGTGGACCTACCGTTCCGCGTTTTGTGATCCACAAACCTAATGCTTCTCACGGTTCATCGACGGCTGGCACTACGGTCACCGATTCGTACCCTGTGACTCTTATCGCAGCGCCTATCAAAACTTTCTCTATTGATGCAGTACCATCGACTGCGGTCGCGCCGCTGCCATCGGATGCTTCAGGTTGTAACCAGCCACTTACGCCTAATTTACCGAAAGGTACGTCATTTTTTACTAAATCTGCCAAGTAGATGGGGCTACCACTTATACTGATATTAAGTGGGTTTCCCTAGCGTATCTGCTACCGTCTAGCGCAGCGATGGTAAAACTCACTGAACACCATTTTGCTTTACCCGGCAGACGTTCAGGAATTCAAGTACCTGGACAGCTATATTAATGCACCTAGAATCGTAGCTGAGAGTAAGAACCGTTTAGCAAAAGCTCGAGGTGCTTTGGCCAATCTCCGCCACCTGTGGCGCAGACGCGACATCACTCGCCCTGAAGCGCAGCGTTTACACTGCAGCCGTCCGTTCAACCCTCTTATACGGTTGTGAAACCTGACCCATCAGATCGACAGACATAAAGTGGCTAATCACATTCGATCATCACTACCTTCGCAGCCTACCTCATGTCTGGTGGGAGCACCGTGTGAGCAATGAGCGTGTTCGGCGTCGCGTATTTGGTGCAGGAAGAGTGAGTGCACTGCTCAGCACCAGTATATCACGCACCAGGATCCAATGGCTGGGCGACGTGTTGCGCATGCCAGCACACCGACTCCCGCGACGCATTGTTTGCGCGCCGACGGTACGGTTGGAAGAGGAGGAGGGGTGGCCAAGCGATGACTTGGTCGAGAGGAATGAATACCCTCACTTTGAAACTGGCGTCGGTTGGGTGCATCCCGACTGCGTGGCTGGGGTCCTAAGGGCGTTGAACACGTTTGGTTGGACACACTTGCTGATATAGCGATGAGCCGGCCCCAATGGCGTTTGTATTGTGATTTTTTTGTCCATCCCCCTCCCTTTAAGTTCCCCTTCCAATTCCGATCTCATACAAAACGCATAACATAATATTTGGCATCGTATTTTCGCAGTGTAATTTTTTACTCTCTTATGTTTATGTATTGCGACACCTTAGTTGGGGTGTGTTTCTCACCCTCAGCTAACGTGTAGTGATGATTACCCGGCTGACTTTGTGGTTAGCATGTAGCGCCCAGTTTTTCCTCTATGCTGTTCGGAAAACTGATGAGTTCAAGGCGGATCATCTTACTCTGGATTCGAAGTATCCTCTATGACTCGGTGCTGGAGTGCCGAACGCGTATTTGAATTGCGTTTTAAATGATCATGATTTGGACCACCGTTTACTTTGGAGTTGACTTCGGCATTCTGATCATTGGGATCATATTCGAATTGAAGAGTTTTCGCTGTTTCTGACATAGGATTAGCTGTCAACAAGTCCAATCCCAACTCCGACTATATCTACTTGCTGAGTGCAAATGATGAGGGAGCCGGTCATGGAGTAGTGTTGAAAGCGAGCAATGCCGAAAATCCTTTATTTTTTGCCACCTGTTATATCACTGCTCCTTTCATTGTTTACTAGTTCTCTAATGATTGTGCACCTTTTGCAGCCAACGAGCTGAACTTCTCGACGACTTCTTCCAACGCGAGTTCTCATGCAATTTCGTAGCTATTGTATCCCACCAGCGATCCATCGTACCTGAGTTCGGTGGCCATTAGTTCACTTCTGCAGGAGCCTACTTTGCCCTACCGGCAGCGGAGTGGCTCAAGTATTTGTCGCGTAGTCCGTGGGTTACCGGTTCGGACCCACTTCTCTGTGGGTGACCTCGCAGTATTCCTGCCCGCAAATACCCACCTGCGGTTAGTGACATTGGAGCTTCTACGCACGGCCATTTGTATACTGCGGATTCGTTGTCTTTGCTCTGTCTTCGGTGCTTACAGACAAGTATCGAAGTGGATTTTGAAACCTCTAAGCTACTTTACCTCCAATACTCCTCTTCTTCAACACAAATACGCATATTTTCCTTCTCCGTTTCTTTCCAACCCTCATTGTAGCCAAATTGATGACTCCGCCCAACCCATCTAGCGTCCGTTTCCTTTCTCCTCCATCTTCAAAACCCGCCGCATCTACCACCTCCACGAGTCTGCTCCAAACCAACGCCCTAACAGCCTTACAGCCGATCGGTTCTCCTTTGAAAACAGTGGGGATAAGTGGACCCGTCGGTATCTGGTCGGGAGTAGATAACACACCTGCTGTTCAGCCATCACGTCTTCTCGCCGTTCAATCGTCGCATCCACTCCTAGTTCAATCACCCTCCGATGCGGGTACATCATCTCTGTTGGAAGACTTCTCATTGGCCCTAAGTCAAGCTGCTTCTCATCCTACTGCCACTACAACTTCTTCGGTGGTGTATGCGAGCTGTCCACTGTCAGAATCTGCTCCCACAGTCCTTGCGTTTAGCTTGACAACTACCACTCCCATGAGTGTATCTGGGGCCAGTCTTGTTAGCAAGTCGACTACTCAACATGCTCCTGCGGCATCGTTGGTTTTGCGAGTAGGTTCTGTTGCAGTGTCTGTTAACTGGACTTCTCATCTGTACCTTTTTATTGCTGTAGGAACTTTCAGTTTTATGAACCAGCGTTATAAATAGTTCACCCTCTGTTTATGTGATTGCGTATGGTTTCTTCACAAACACTTTTATCTCTACTATGTCTTCTTAGGCAACCTGCAGTCCAACCGTGACAGTTTCTCCGTTGCTATCTGCAACGACTTCGACTGCACACTACACTCCAGCCTCGCTTCTGAAACCTTTCAACTTTTCCCTGACTGGATCTCCTGGGCCCGGTCCGAATGTATCATGTACTTCGGCGCTTTCAACCACCTCAACCACACCCTCCCTTGCTGTCCCTATTCACATTGCGCCCGCCAGGCTTCCCGCCGTTCAGCCTGCCCAATCCTCGAATACTTCAACCAACCGCTCTCATCTATCTCCAACATTTTCCACTATACCTATTCATCGTCATGCACCCAGTTCATTGTTTTCGCAACCAAATCGCCGACGTGCGCGGAAACAGCAGTTGGCTTGCGCATTAACCAACTCTGCGATGCCCACTCCCATAGGATCTGTTAACCCCGTATCCAACGCAAATGTGTCTGCCGCCTCCACTGTGTCAAGCATCCCGATCGCCCAACTGGCGTCGGCAGCAAATCGCAACACATTGGCGACCCCGTCCAATATCGTCACTATTGCGAGACCCGCACAGTCACAACTCTCTGTTCAATCAAAGCATATTTCAACGGCATCCCACAATGTACTCTCGTTCCCCTTGTCTCCAAAACACGGAAGTGGCGAGTTAGCTGTTAAAGTGAGTTTTACCCCTTACCTTAGTCACTCCACACTCTCCACAAAAATGCTGTCTAGCTTTCTATCAGATTTTCTCCGAATTTTATCTCGTGTAGACTAATTTGTTTTCACACTGACTACTGACTTTCGAGATGATCGTCACTTATCTACTGCATGTTTTGCCCACTCCTGTAGGTCGCATGTTCTGTTGGGCTCCCGGTAGTGCCAACGATTAATGGAACGAGCTCTCATCTGAGTACTCCAGCTGGATTTGTTGGTATCCGTCTTCTCTCAGTTCGACCCAGTCCTGTTCCCGCAAGCGTTCATTCATGTTCTCTGCCTGTCATTTCGAGCTCGTCGCCACCGAACAGCCTATTAACACCACGTGCGAGTGTGAATGTCAACACGGAACCCACTCCACTCGTTGTAGTCGCCCCGACACCCGTCTCTTCCGTTTGTCCGCAACAGGTTCGCATTGTGAATTCTCATCATACTTCATCATCGGATGTTCACCCATCAGCAACGGCCACCGTTTATGTACTGACCTCTTCCGCTTATCCCGTCGCTTCCAGTGGTTCTTCATCTACAGTTACAGTCACACAAAACACTGCATTTGCTTCAGCATCTACTGATAGCCGCTCGGCTACTGTCGTCTCATCATCCCCCTACACCACTGCCGTTATGCTTCCGAGTGGAGAGACCGGTGGTGTGTTTCAAGTTCGACTGAGGCCCCCTTTCTCGCACACCGCATTTGCTTCCAGCACTCCTACTCCGACCTTTGCTCCATTTATGCTCGACTCTACTACAAACCGTCCCACTTGTCAGCTTGTTCGACCAACTTTTCACACCAATCAACACCCAAGTGCGGTTGCCAGTTTTAGCCCTCCCGTAACAGAGACTCTTATTCAGGTGAGTTCATACAAACTAGGCACTCGGGTCTGCCTGCGACCACTTTTCAGGTTCCTAGCATGATGCACAATCTCAATCTCGCCCCAATGAAACCAAAATGTATACTTTTGGCCCCAAAAGCTGTTGAAGAACAACGAGATACCAACTATAGCGTTTTATTTGCTCACCCAAGGAATCACGATGCACTTGTTGCGGCTTAGTTCCTTTTGTGCAGGAAGAGCGAGTGAACCGCTCAGCACCAGTATATCACGCACCAGGCTCCGATGGCTGGGCGACGTGTTGCGCATGCCAGCACACCGACTCCCGCGACGCATTGTTTGCGCGCCGACGGTACGGTTGGAAGAGGAGGAGGGGTGGCCAAGCGATGACTTGGTCGAGAGGAATGAATACCCTCACTTTGAAACTGGCGTCGGTTGGGTGCATCCCGACTGCGTGACTGGGGTCCTAAGGGCGTTGAACACGTTTGGTTGGACACCCTTGCTGATATGGCGATGAGCCAGCCCCAATGGCGTTTGTGTTGTGAGGTTTTTTGTCAGTCCCCCTCCCTTTAAGTTCCCCTTCCAATTCCGATCTCATACAAAACGCATAACATAATATTTGGCATCGTATTTTCGTAGTGTAATTTTTTACTCTTTTATGTTCATGTATTGCGACACTTTAGCCGGGGTGTATTTCTCACACTCAACTAACATGTACTGATGATAATGATGATGATGCGCCTAACCTTTTCTGGCTGTTTACTTCACATTCACTACCTGGATCTAACATATTACTGTTATCCGTGCGTTTATCGGTTCTTCTTTCAGGTTTAAAGTTACAGACAGCCACATTATCTAACATGAGGGCCTGCTTCTGGTTCCTCCAGAACTATACCGCACAGAATGTGAACTTTTTATTAGTAATTTTATTTCACTTAGCATTGCACACTGTGAATCACGACTTCCTCCTGTTTGACTCAGAACCCTCAAGCTAGAGACATTCACTTGTGGATTCCCATTTCTTAGTTTGCTTACACAAAACTATTTTCCGTCTACACTAAGTGACTACATCACGGCAATCCATAATTCGAAGTGTTAAACGGACTGGACGCACTGAGCTCAGTTGGTGCATTCAATCGTCTATAGTTCGATCATTGAGATGCGGTGGATCCAGTTGTCACGATGCGCACGATCAGGTAACGGAACATGATGTGAAATACAAGTAGATTACTAAGAAAAGGGAGTCACGAACAAACGAGTTTAAGCGATCGAATTGGATTGTTGATAGCTGAATGTTCACGTTCGCACCTTGCCGCTGTAGTCGTACAACTGTTGCTGCAGGCTATCTCTACACTCCCATCCGTGAAGAATTCACATACCAGCCTGGATAAGTCTTTCAGTCCTTTTTCCCATGCTTTTATATTACTTCGTCGGATGCCCATTTCGCGATTTTACTCAACTGGTTGCGATGACAGCATCCAATGCGCGCCGAGGAAGGCGGTCAGCCGACACGCGGTGGGTATGCCGTAACCAACGTAAGCGGTTCAAATTTAGTGCGAACTCCAGTGCCGCCGCCATGGGGTTTCTTTACAAACCCCACCTGGCGGACCTCAGTGTTGCAAACTCAATCCTGTCACGGAATATGACCGCTGTTCTACAAGCGCCGGTGATCAAAGACGCCTTTGGTAGGCAATGGCCATGGTTATGATATATACAGCAACACCGACTGCACGTTAGCGCTGTGCACCCTACCCTTGACAAACCGTAGATGATTGTGGCCATGGCAAAACCACATAGGCCTTATTGATATGTGTTATTGTACCCTGCCCAACGATTTAACCAACAGAAGTGACACGACTGACTGGGTACATGAACCAACAAGCCACTCTGCGTGGCTACTCAATTACAGTTGGAACTGGTAACACTGACGGCAGTTCCTTGCACCTTGATGTGAAGAACGTAGTGGAGCGTGAGGCCTTCCATGTCAGTCCATACAGTGACACTTGTAAGAAGGCTGCGTTTGGCCTCGTAAAGTATCTCCGCGTACTTCATGTTTATTAACCATTAAGATAAGAAAGGGTGGATTAAGTGACTAAGGTGTCCAAAATCGATGTGATTTTTCCACGCAGAAGATGCCCGGACGACAACTGGCCAAGGTAAAACAAAACACACACAACGAGGGCTTTTGAGACGAACCGCGATCACCTCCGCCATTACAAGGATTCGGCATCTGATAAATTTGGAATGGACACCCCTCATACAGCTTTAGAGATAACGACGGGATGATTCGTTTAAACTATGGGTGCGGCTATCGCGGTGGTGCACATTTTGTTACTTCCTCGGCTTAGCCACGCTGGATGATGCTCGCGGACGCGTTCAGACAAACGTCTCCTGGTGTGACCTATGCAATTTGTTTCACAGGAACTTGTAAATTGGTACACACGGAAAGAGGCTCCTTCAGTTTTAGGTGCAACATGGGCGTGATTGTGCGGCCCCATAGGTGTTAATGACGGCCGCTCGTAATCGTTTGCTAATGTGTTCGTACTTGTTGTCTTCCTTGAATTTCAACGACAGGTTTCTTTCCTTCTATAGATGCTTTGGTGACCACATAGTCAGTTCGCATGTTCCTGTCAATAAAGGCCTCGGGATAGCCGTTTTTAGGGAACAGTTTTCTTATTACGGCGCGCTGTGCTTCAATTGTGTCATCGAAACGTATTTTCATCGCTCATCCTACAGGACACCGGACTAGGTTTTGTTTTCGTTGAATTGACACAAAGCTATCAAAGTGTGCCCATATTGCTTACCTGGGAATTCTACATTTTAGTGAGCCACCTGGCTTACGTGATATATGAACATCCAGGAAAGCCTGACGTTCGTTTGACTCTAGTTGCATGCATAACGGAGTGTTCCTGTGGGCCCCATTTAATTTCCGTAATAGTTCGATCTGGTCCACGGAGCCGTCAGCTATGTACATCACGTTATCGACATAGCGTTTATAGAGTGCCATCCGCTCAATCTTTTCACTTTCTCGTTTGGTCATAAACATATCAGCGAACAACGGACCCAATAGTGACCCCATAGTTAGCTCGTCTTTTTGTCGGTATAACTTTCCGACAAAGCGAAATTGGACGTTGTGGGTACATTGGTGAAGCAGCAGGCTATTTAATTCTTCCACCGGTAAGTCCATTTGTTTGCCTGTGCACTCGATGTATTCGGCAAGGTAATCGATAGTCCCTTTAACGGGAATATTAGTAAACAACGGCGTAACATCGAGCGAAACTAACTGCTTGTTATCCACATTGTGAGTTCCGATGCTATCGACGAACTCGAACATGTCATGCAGACCATTAGTTGCCAACTCCTTTCTTGTTGGTTCTAGCAGTTCAACCAACCACTTTGCCAACGTATGATACAGGAGTTACTCATATATAATAAGGCGCCATGTTTATGGGTAATCCATACAATCTGGGAATAATGGTGCCGACGGGGCAAATTTTTTCAAATGTCAGCGAATCGACTAGTCTTTTTGTTTCATTTGTCTACGAATGTAGGTATGACCCCATTAATCATCGTGGTTTTATCCTCATTGAACGTTTTCATGAACTTTGAGGATCCTCAAGTAATATTCTCACCTTATGGTGCTATTCGGTTTTGTCCATAATAGCAATATCCTCGCCTTTGTCTTGCCACAACAGTATAACCTCGTTTTCCCCCAGTACTTCTAGCTTGTCTGGTTCCTCTCTTATTAGCAGCTTCCTGGCTGTCGTGTGGGTCAAATACTGGTAACAGAATGGTACCAGGGTCGCCCCAAACCTTTCCACATTTAATTCGCTTGTACTCAGCCACTTCTGTATGCAGATTCTTTAACTGCACCTCTAGATCAAGTTGTTTGTGTCCTGACTTGAGCAACAGAATTTCGTACCTAAGGACAGCACTGCAAACGTGATTCTATCTAGCTGTAATGTTGAAAGATTTTTGAACGTTCCGTCCAGAATTCTTTAGGAATTCCACCCTGAACCTGACCTGATTGTTAACTTTTATTTGTTGCTGCCGCTTTTGGTGCAATCCGCTGCACTTACGAGTCAAATGATGCATTTCCCACATCAGTTAAGGGATCCAGCGCTAGTGAATCACTGTGTCTGTTTCCTTCCAAGGTGCTTAGCTTCACCGTCCACACATTCTTTACCCTTAAGTATATATATATATATATATATATATAATCACTTGACCAATAAGCATCTGGCAGAGTGCCGTAGCGCATGAATAACAAAAACAAAAGGAGGAAGAGTCAGGGGAAAGGATGCGAAGATCCTTTTGTTGTGTGGGCAGTGAGCTTCCCGGTTGCCGAGGCCGAGGAAGTGGCTTAAGCGAACCCACCCCGAGCCTTTGGCCTTAAATACCTGACCCGAAAGTCAGCGGGGAGAGCACGAAGATCTTTGACAGTCAGGTGGCTCATTCGCCTTTGTGTTCGGTTGCAGTTCATAGAGAAGCCGGTGACCAGCAAGATTGTTCATCCGCCCTCCGTTAGATACTCACCTCCAGTTACGGAAGTGAGTGGTCAGTGACCCTATAGCAGGTCACATAGGCTTTGACATAACGCCGTACGCGCACTTGTGGTATTTGATGGAGAACCAGGTGACCAACCCAGAACTTCCCACGTTCTGAGACACTGCCGCTGATTGTCCTCAACTGCTTATCCATCTGGCCTTCAAAACAGACGAGACTTATTCTCAGTTACCTCCACAATGAAGGCATTCCCCAGTCAGCAACCTGGGGACGCACCCGATAGCGTACAGCTGCGTCACGGGCTCTCCTTTAAGACCAGCTGCTGTATTGCCTCCTCGGCAATGTTGACATGGCTTCGTCGAAGCATAGTGATATAACGCTTTGGATCTTCGCCACGACGCATGCAATTTGTCAGAAACCGAATGGAGATGTTTGCCTCGGAATGACGCACACAAAACTTAACATACTTATCAAGCTTTGTGTATATAGTGGGATCTTTGGTTTGCTTCAAATGGT